ACTAATAGGCAAGAATGAGCATTAGAACCTTGTATCTTCTTTACTAACCAATACAAAGTGGCCCAGTGCTTAATTGCATTACATTAAATTTTCAAGACCTTTCTGTTTGTAGTTGATGGAGATTTTCTTGGACACTTAAACATTAACTGGTTTTAATTTTTAGAAACCTTTATTACTTATAATACACCCCCTCATTTTGATGAAGAGTTTGCACATCAGGTTGTATCTTAATATTCATCAAGTTGAGAACAGTGAAATTTCTTTGATACAAAATAAAAATAGGGCATTTGAAAAAGAACTGGCCTAGATAAAGTTCGTATAAGCTTAAGTATTTGAGTAGTTATTAGATCTTCAGGTTATTAGCTGTAATGAAATACCGGTGGCAGTTTCTTAAAACCTTGGACCTGTACTTTAAATGCTCTTGGGTAGTCCCTTAAAAGTTAACTTTTCGGGCCCTCCCTGGTGGCGCAGCGGGTTAAAGCACTGCACTGAGAAGCTGAAGACACTTCCGCATGAGTTTGATTCCCGCCTGCCCCGGAGGTGACCACATGGCATGGCAGACCTCTCCTGACCTGCCCGCTATCCCCTCAGCAGTGTACTTGGTCAATCTGTCTGTTCTGTGCCCCACCCTGTCTCTGGTGAAGCCTCTCGCCGCCCCTGAGCCTCTGCCCTATACCCCAGTTCTGTAAGCACAAATAAATAAATCTTAAAAAAAAAAAAAAGTTAACTTTTCGGGCCCTCCCTGGTGGCTCAGCGGGTTAAAGCACAGCACTGAGAAGCTAAAGCCACTTCAGCAGGAATTCGATCCCCACCTGCCCCTGAGGTGACCACATGGTGAGGCAGACCTCTCCTGACCCGCCCGCTGCTCCCCTCAGCAGTGTACTTGTTGATCTGCCTGTTGTGCTCGCCATTCTCACTCGGTGAATCCTCTCACTGCCCCTGCACCTTTGGCCTGTACCCCAGCTCTGTATGCATAAATAAATACATCTTTTTTAAAAAAAAAAAGTTAGCTTTTACTCAGATGTGTTAATAAGCTGAAGTCTAGACATAAACAGTTTGAGTTCCAGGGCCACCTGTTGGATCTTTATGGCTTCAGCAAATCATTGTCAGTTATAAGTATACAGTATAAACAATCCCATGTGCCTACATTTTACACCTGACCATGTTTTAGGACTACTCCAAAAGACTTAACTTGTATTCCATGTACAGTACAGCTGTATATTGGAGTGGTCCCAATAAAGTAGCATGTTTTCCCAAAAAAACTTAAATGAGGAACTTAATGTTTACCTTTGGAATGAATATAAAGAATAATCTTACAGATTAATTCACATAGAACATAGGCCTGCTTTCTTGAAACTTAAAAACGGGAAAAGCAAGTTTCATACTCCCATAAATAAAAACGTTTAACCAAAAAGTATGCTTGGATTTCAGTGGCATTTATGAATGTAGGTACAATAGTGCTTTTTAAAAGTTCTGTTGTTCAAAAACTTCTTACCTCAAGCATATCTGATGTCTACATTCATTCAGTCTGTTACTCTCCACTCTGTGAAATAAATATCTGGTTGTTAACATGAGATTCCAAGGAACAGGAGAGAACTGTAGAGGTTTAGTGTGATTGTAAGAACAGAATTCCCAATTAGCTCTGGAAGACAGCCCCAACTCTAAATCTGTTATATTTTCATGCACGCACACTTGAACATCGTGTTTCCTCTTAAGGAGAAAATGGTTCGTTTGATTACCACCTAATTCCTTGTATGTCCTTGGGCAAGTTTGGATTTAGTGTCACTTTCTGTAAAGTGAGAATGCAGGCTACTAGATAGTAGGTGGTGATGGTTAAACTAGTATATGGTGACAGAGTAGGGAAGAAGGCAATCTCCAACTTAAGCCTTAGTGATTTCACTCAGAACTCAGAATGGTGGTAAACTCCTGCAAACTTAAGAAGTGTGAAAGAAATCCTAAGTTAGCAACACATAATGTGGTTCAGGTAAAACAGAAGCCTCGATTTTCAAAACAGCAATTCCAAGTTTTGTAGGGT